TCTAGGAAGGGGTTCTATGGTTCCTACCAACCAACATGTCAAAGAACTTCTTATGAAGCAGTGCTTGATGGCTCCTGCTTGTTTCCTGGGATGCTCTAAAAACAGGGTTCCTATAGAAGGTACCATAAACCTTGCTTCTAGGGTATTCTTTCTTGCCTATAAGATTCCATGAAATAATCCGAAAAGTAGCCAGTGGTCAGAGTAGTTAGGGTAAGGAACAGCCTGAAGACTTGTCTCTCCAGAAAGTCTTTCAGAGTAATCTCTCTGTGTGAATTGTATATAAAAGTACATGTGTGTGCATGCATGTACAGGTGTGGCCCTCAACACCTTAGAACACCAAAAACAATCCTTAGTGTTTTTAAGGGTTTTTTTAATGACTAATCTAAGGGTGTTAGCCCATGAAAGCTATCTTCCATATTTTTGCTGCGACAGACTAGCCCAACTACCACTCTGCAAGATTCTCAAGTAATTTAGATAAACTTCCCCATCTGCTCACCTGCAGGCACTCTTTACTTGCCATAGACAAATGAATACAAGTGGAACTCAGGTAAAATTACATAAATCAGTGATACGTGAGCGGGGCACTCCATGTGTTTTGGCCTTCAGCTCGTATCAGTCCTAACCAGCACAGCCAAAGGTGAGGCATAATGTCAGCTGTAGACCAAGACATATCTGGAGTGCCTTGAGCTATTCACCCATACTGTAAACAGGTACTTTAAGGATTATCTAATGGAAGCCAACTCAAAGGCCAAATTTGCTATCTAGCAAACAACCTGGGAGAGGGGCAAATCCATAGCTTCATTTAAAATATCAATTCATATTAATTCAAACATACATGAGCCCTCTTCCCTTCCCAATACCATACCATTACAAGTATTTTGCTACCTGGTGCTAATGGGGGAAATCACTTCTCAATACACATAGCAGCTTCAGAAGTTCAATTTTCTCTATTTTTTCAGCACTTAAAAATTAAAATTATATTCATGAAACAACTAAGGGAACAAAAATGGCTATACCTCATACATTTTAGAGAAGTTATTTAGCTGGAACACACAGAATAGATAATTATCCAAAATATATAAAACATTAATAGATAGGTTAAGGGAACAGAGGTAACTAAAGACAAACGGGAAAGTGGATTTAATCTAACATCTTAGAAAAGCAACGAAATTGCATCTGTTCAAAAATGTGTACAAATGTATACAACTTCTAGAAAAAGCTTCTAAAAATAACACATGGTATTAGGCACTAGCCAGATTCTCTAAGATGTTCCCAGCAGTAAGGGGTAGGTGTTGGAGGTGTAATAGTAGATGAACTTTTGTCCCACAGAATATTGGAAGATAATAAACAGCACAAGATAAATTGCAGGCTATAAGTTGCAATTAACCCCAACAACTATATTCCTGTGTGATATTAAAGACCAGATCCCCAGAGATTTAGTGGTGATGGTGAATTATATGTTAACAGCTGCAAAGATCCTTTTGCAGAAGCTTGGCAATCAGCATACATACTATCTTTGGGTACAATGGAAAAAATATTTTGATTGTCATTACAATGAATTGAAGAACTAGTTATAATTGCTATAGGATAAATTAACTAATTAATGTGGTATTATTGCTTCCAATTTAATCTCTTGTGCTGGAAAATAGGACCCTCACAGGCCAAAGTAGAATGGACACAAGTCTAATGCATGAACTACAGCAGCTGTTCAGGAAATGTCACTGCAGGCCTTAATATGGACAAACAGAAGTGGGATTTGTGGTTTCTCTTACTTTCCCCTCCATACTTCCAGCACTAAGGTGATCTGTGATCATTGACCACAATCTGATGTCTTGTTAAGTTTTCAGGGTGACTTGTTGCCTTATGGGAAGCAGTCTAAGTTTGGATGATACAACAACTCATCATGGCAAGTTACCCACAACGGGTTAGCATGTCATGTGAACCACGTCAATGCCTTTCTTTAATTTTTCAGTAGCCTGTGGCTGCTTTGGTTAGGGAATTTGAGAAACAGCAAATCAGTTCTCACTCTCAAGAGCTAATAGCTGGTTTGAGGTATTCAAATTAGACTGGAAAAACTACACATAGGAAAACCTATACCCACCCACCCCCCACACTTCTCCAGTTACATATTTTCCATAAAGAAACATGTAAAAATTGTGTTAACAAAATACAAAAGCTGGGTTTCACAGGAAAGGATTGCAATTGAAAGATTAGATTCTTATTCTCTTCTGCCCACGGATTCTCTCTACAAATCTTAAATGTTCAAATGCATTAATCTACGGGTGTTCTATGGGGTTAGGGTAAATAAAGAGAAAGATTAATATCTGGAATCCAGATGCAGGTATTAATAGTGATATAATAGTAGTATAGTAGCTTAATACTGATACTGGACTGGTTCACACAATCACTGCTGCTTAAACAACTCACTGCAATGTGTGCCGGGTACCATCTACCTGTCACCCACTGGAGTGTAGTTTGCCATATTGCCTGAAGCTGGGCAGCATGGCTTGTTCAAGGGGGAAGTAACCCTCAAATGATTCAACAACAGAACATGAGTTATTTCAGTTGTTTTTGGCTCAAACAAGCCATGCGACCAAGGTTTAGACAATACTTGTTTAAGCCAAGGTGATAATGAAAACTGGGCCCCTAGCTTTAGTGCCTAGCAGATTGACCAAGAAATGTTGGATTATGCTGAGCATACATGCTGGTTATCATACCTTTTAGAAGAATGAAATAAGATTTATATTTTTAAGAAATCAGAATGTTTATTAAGCATTCTGAGATAAAAGAACAATTAATTGTTCTGCAAAAAGGCAATAGTTTTACTACTGTATTGAAAGCATATTTTACATGTGGAGGTTCTCAGTTCTATTCCAGTCCTTGGAATAGAGAATGTGATTCCCATAAAAAAGAATGCTTGTACTTCTGGGTGAAGTACAAATCAGTTAAATTATAGAACATATTGAAATGAGACTGTGGATAAGAAAATCACCACAAAACCAACTTTAAGTTCAAGCCACCTTTCACAGGAAGGAAATATTAGTCTTCCCTCAAATATTTGGGGGAACCCTATTATCTACACAAGCAAAGAATAAGATTTAGAACTCGGGACTCCAAGCAGACCCACCAAAGCTTTCCACTCTGTCTCCTCAAAGTAATTTTTAAGTAAAATCTTGGAAAATGTTAGAATGATCTTCTCTCTCTTTCCATCTCATTATTTCCATCCCACCCACCTCGTTAGCTTACTGTTTCCCATTCTCTTAGCATCTAACCTTACTCTGTCTCTATCCTTCCCAGCCTTCAGCCTTGCTCTTCCTTCTGTACATCAAACACATTATTTCTCTCCTTTCTACAATCTCACTTTTGACTCGCCAGGCCTCCATAGCAGCCAACATGTGACTAGCCACATGGAAGCCATTTCATAGTGGGGTCCACAACACTTTCTCAAAAAGGCCCCCAGTCTTTTGGATCTGTGGAAACACTTGGGAATTTGAGAAACTGCTGTTAACACCAGGCACTAAAAAAGCTCTGACTGAGAACATGACATAACGGCTGTGATGGAGGCCTGGATAGTCACAAATGCGCTAAAAAGGTAGTGGGATAAAGGGAAATACTGAGGCCCAAGGCTGGCAGGGAGGAGGAATTAGCAAAGTAAAGGGGTAAAGAAAGAGCAAGGCTAGAGGCCAAGAACAAGAAAAACAGTGAGTTAAAGGGGTTGAAGAACTAGAAACAGGCTAGAAAGGGAGAGAACGTAGACTGTCCTAACATTTTCCAAGAATGTTATTTAAACATTAATTTGAAGAGGCAGGAAGTGGAAAGCTTCATGGGCACCCTTGGAGGTGCCCCACTACTGTGTTAGGGACACCTGGTAAGCAGTGTTGCTGCAGATACATATTCATTACACAAACTTGACCATGCAGTAAGCACCAAGAACTAGGAACCCTACTCAAAAATATTGGCCAGACAGTCCAACTGCCAACCTGAAATAAAAAATAGCTATATATATGGTAACATCACTTGCCAGGTAGACACTTGACAGAATATGGTTTAAGATGCTGGCAACTCCCCCTTTACTGACTTTCTAAAGTGTCCCTCCAGGACATTTACTTAACATAATTACCAGGTACCCCACAAGAACCTCCCAAAACCTGAACAGTGCTATTTATTACATTTTACTAGTTAGAGATGACATGTATTCTACAATGTAAGCTAATTACATACCTAGAATCATAGTGTAGAAAGAGAAACGTCTAAATTACTCAGTGAATTTCACAAGTGATCCTAAAATTATTTGTTTGGATAACTTGTGAATGTTATAAACTAAGAATAAAGAGCAGAATACCATTTCTGGAAAAATGCTTTCAAAAGTGACACTTAGCTATACCATAGCTGTACCAGTTATCACCAGTGAACCAAAGGGTGATAAGAACTTTGGAAAAGCTATTCCCCAAACCCCAAAAACTGCTTAAGGAGCCATCTTCCTCACTTTTGAGAACAAGAAGCAGAGCTAAAAAGGAACTGCAATTTTAAAATATTTTACCTACAGAGGATGATCTCAGAGTGTGTATGTGCTGGCTGAAAGAAGTGTTTTACTCCTTTGGATTCCAGCACGTATGGAAAGCCACATCACCGATCAAAGAGGTGACAGCACTAGCTGATAAAACCAGAGCAACAATTGTTTGGCACCTTGTGACTTGAAACACGCCAGTAATTTTTGATATTACACATATCAAACCTTAATAGATCGTTCAATTCATGGCCCTTCAGACATTTGTCAGTGCTGCTGCTGACCAAGCTTGGGATCTACTTGACCATTAAAGAAGGTATTCTGAAGTTAAGCTTCAGATAGCAGCAGATTCACTAATTATGGTGCCTCCCCTTACAAGTAATGGGGATATGATTTGGCCTGCCTTTTAAAGATAAACATTCCAGAGAAAGTAAGCATGTCAGATACCCACGTCCCTCTTTTACAACTCCTAGATTCAATATGAAATCCTTACCCCATGATGACCAATGAGACGTGCAGTGCGAGTTGTTTAGCTGACCAATTCCTTATAGGATTTTTCTCGCCCTTTTACAACGCTGCAAGTGTACCCCGGCCAGTTAGCAATGCCGACACTCCTCTACGTCTATTTTTCTGCTCTCTCCTGTTGTAGATCCCAGGTGTTTCCACGAAATCCAGGTGACCCTGCGTTCCTTTCTCAGCAGGATTTTAAACGCTAGAGTCTACAGGCATGTGGGAGCGCAGCCAAAAGACCCCCCCACAAACAACCCTTATGAGGAGGAGGAAGAGAAAGGGAGTCTGCCTAGGGAGTCAGCCCTAAGGAAATCTGCCCCATAGCCTCCCTGAGCCCGTCTTCTCCGCACCCCCTGCACCACGGGGTCCAGGGGGCAGCTCCAGCTCCCTGCCAGGAGGCGGCGGACGAGGAGGAGGTAGTAGCAGAGGCAGCAGCACCAAGCCAACCCTCCTTCTGCAGGGAGGAGAGGCACTCGCCCGCCTCTAGCAGGGAGGATCAGAAACCCCACAGAAGCACTTATGCCTTCGGCAGTTAATTAAAATGCCCCGGAGCAGCGAGAGCCCCGGATCGCCGTCCGTCTCAGGTGCAGAGCGGAATCGGGGGGCTTGCGGTGTGCGCAGCGCTGCGCGCCGCCCTTCCTTCTAACACCCCCGCCGGCGGCAGCAGCAGCAGGATGGGGGGTGTTGCTTCATTTTCCCAAGCAGCGGCAGCGGCAGTAGCAGGCGGAGGAAGCCGTTTCGCTGGCGCTGACATCGGGCTCCAGTAAAACGGCGGCGAAGGCAGGGCACCGGCCGCGCATCCCCTACAACCGGGACAAGATGATGGGGCTGAGGAGCTAAAAGGCAGGAGGCGACGATGCAAGACGGAGGGCGGGGGGCGCCTATCCTAATCCCGGCGAGGTTGGGCAAGTCTCCTTCAATTACGCCTGTTTCTGCAGCGGGAGAACATCTTCCCGGATCCGGCTGGAGAATGGCAGATCAATCATTCACAGTAGTAGCAGAAGCGAGGGAGGAGGCAGAGGCGGCGGCAGAGGAGGAGTGGCGGCGCCGATCGCAGCAGAGCCCCTCTCGCCCCTCTCTGCAGCAGCGGGGCCCCAACGCGGGCTATTGCTGCAGCGGCACCGGCGGCAGCGGGAGGGCGGTTGCCTCTACAGCTCCTCAGCCACCCCTGGCGCGGACAAACGTGGCTCTTCCCAATCCCAGGGTCAATCCGTGAGCTGATGCTTTTAGGCTCCTCTCCTCCGAAAGCCTGCCCGCGACGCCCGCTCACAACCTCCTCACACCTCCCTCCCGAACGCCGCCCGCGCACACGCCCCCGCCTCAGTCAGCCAGCCGCTCCCTCTCTCTCTCCCTCCATCGGTTTCCCGCGCAGCGCACTGAACGGGAAAGCGCACCTACCCCTCCGCGCTCGGGGCCTGAGAGGGCAAGAGGAACGGAGAGAGTGCGCTTTGCTGTTGCTTCGCTCTGGCCTCCTGCAGCCACTTTAAAAAAGGGAGTGAGCGAGGAAAAAGGCGTGTTGCGGGTTTGGTGGGTGACTGGAGAGAAGGGGTGCGCTGCTGCGGCGGCGTGTGAACAACCCGAGAAGAGCACTGTCTACCGCTCCGCTCAGGCCCAGCTATCTCCGCGGGACTACGCGGCGCAGCCTCTCTCTGCGACTCAGCAGCTACACTTCCCACGCGGGCAGCAGCACCTGCTCATTCTGTCTCCATCCTCCACTTGGGGACCTTTAAATAGGACACGTCACCACGTTCCCCTACGCACTGGCGTCACACAACTGCTCCGGGCGCTGACGTCACCGGGGTGCGGGGGATGATGTCAGAATGTTCCACGCCGCCGGAAGCGCTTCTAAAATAGGGAATGGAGTAGGGCTGTGCAGGAGTGAAAACAGAGGAGGGACTGATTTGGGCCGGCCTCTGGTGCAGCCCACCTCCAGGAGCTGGTTGTTCCCCGGTGCTTTATCTAATCAACCACCCCCGTAGTTATCCTCAAAAAATGTGTGTTTAAAGAAACTACGTGTCATCTCATAGTTTGTAGCTTCATATTCCAAAAGTGAAATCATTCCGTGAAAATAGCAAGGGTTTTTTTTCTTGCGGCAAACCAGATTTGGATTCTGGTGCAAGTTGAATTGCAAACCAAGCATCTTATTATAGCTCTCTAAGATTTCTGTTCACTACTGCTGAAATCACTGGTGCTAAGAGCTGCCCCAAAGGGGGGAAATGGTCACATCATAAAGGTCTGTTACTTAGGCTTTGTATATTCCTTCATATGTGCCCTCTCATAAAAGTTATTCTTAAATGCTTAATATACGTAAGCATTCAGAGAGCCACTGTGGTGTAATGGTTAAGAGTGCAGGATTGGAACTCAGGAGATCTGGGTTCTAGTCCCCACTCAGCTATGGATTTCACTGTGTGATTTGGGGCCAGTCACAGACTCAGTCCAACCTACCTCAAAGGGTTGTTGTTGTAAGAATAAGACTGAGAGGAGGAAGAGGAGAATTATATATGCCACCTTGAATTCTTTGAGGAAAAGGCAGGCTATATATACATACATAAGTAAATGAAATGTAATTTTTGTTCTGAAAGTGGCTTGTTAGATGTGTTATTTGATTTTAAATGCATTTTTCCTGAAAAAATTAATAATTTGGCCATCTCTGAGTTTGTTTTTGTAAAACTATTTTTGTGGCAACCAGTACTTCTTTATTTATTAGATTTTATTTCATTTATTACATCTATATCCCATGTTTCCTCCATGAAGCTCAAGATACTGCACAGTATTCATTTGCCACTGCCACCCCCCACCCCCATCCCAGTCCTCAAAACAATTGTGTGAGAGAAAGTGACTGGCCAGTGAGCTTCATGGCTGAGTGGGGATTAGAACCATGGTCTCCCCTGGTCTCACCCCAAAACTATAACCAATACAGTGCAAGCTATATATAGAGAGAGGTTTCTGCAGTGAGGAGGCTTCTGGGGATGGACCACTGTCTCCACCAGTAAGCATACATCTCATTTTTAGCTTTTTTTCCACTGTGTTGGAAAGGAAATGTGAGGCAGGGCCATAACTACTAAGAATGAAGTTATCTTTCTGGAAAACCTTCATTTTCTTTAAATGTCAAGTATTAGCAGATATTCTATCTGACTGTTGCTGAGGGAGCAGAGACAACAAAGCCCAACCATCATCTCAGCCAGGACAAGCTACTAACCAGAGCTCCTTCTCTCACAAAACCGCCTCCGTCAATGGCCATTCCTTCTGTGTACAATGTAGTGCCTTTTTGCCCTGAGAGAGGCTCAGAAGAAACAGAAACAGTCTGGTGAGCTGTCATCATCTAGCTTCTGATGTTCTAAGTAAAGTGGTCTCTCCTTCCCCTAACTGCTACTACAGGGAGAGGACAAAACCTCATTGAACAATGAAGCATAAACTCATAGAGTCATTGAATAGTAAATTATGAATGGGCCTTGAAGGCCATTGGGTCCCACTCCCTGCTGTTGCAGGACACCAGTTTACATCATCCCACTCAGATGGCTGTCCAGTTTCTTTTTGAATGTCTCTAGTGTGGGAGAGTCCACAACCTCTCCAGGCAACTGGTTCCACTGCTGTATTGCTCTGACAGTGCAATTTTTTTACTGTAATTTTTTTGTAATGTTTAAAATTTATTCTTACTGCCAAAAAGTGGTATATAAACACCTAGAATAGGGTGGTGGGGGGGAAACCCTTAAAACTGGTCACTGTTCTTTCTCTGCATGAAAAATTGTACTAACAGCAAATGTGAAGTTATTTGAACCTCCAACTGGTCAAATAAAATTGTTGTCCTATATTGTACCATCATAAAGTCCCCTCTCTAAACTGTCACCACCAGGAGCCATTCCAGCATGCTTTAGTGAGGGCTATAAGAGGGGGAAAGCAAAGCTGTTGCATGAACCCTGCTGAATGAATTACTCTTTCCCCCTTCTGTTCCCACTCCTTCCTTCTTGTATGTCACATCATTGTAAAACTGCAGGCAGGGACTATCCTGTTTAATTGATCATATGTAACTTGAAGAGCTTTTTGCTGAAGATGGTATAAAAATACCACAAATAAAGAAAATAGCAACAGCATAATCCAGCAATGAGCTCAATCTGGGCCATTTGCCTCCACCTGTCCTAAAACAACTGCAACAGAAGGAGAAGTGACAAAGCATGGCCCACTCAGTCAGCTCAGCCTGGAATTAGCTGCTGTTTGGCAGCTCCTCCTCCTCGCCTTCTTTTTAAGAAACATTTCACTCAGTGGCCATTCCATGACATCATTATAGATTATGTAATGTTCTTTAAAAGTGCCTGAAATTCCTTATTTTCCTGTTCCTACATTATCTCTTTTCCTTCTTTCATTGTGTCTGTTAGAGTGAAAGGCTGCAGGGAAGGCCTGCATCGTTTCTTAATTTTTGTGTAGCACCGGAAATCTGAACTTTATAAATAAACTAAACAATAATTGTACTTTTATTGTACACTTGATTCATCATTATTGATGGATCCAACTGTAGGCATACTACTGATTGTATCTGCTTATATTATTTTATTATATTTGCTGAGAGCTTATGCCATAGGGAGATTCATAAAGGAGTAAATAAAAGGAAATAAATGTAATTTTAAAAGTTGCTAGTGTTTTTTTTTTCCAAGAGCTTATCCAAAAGTATAGGTTTGATAGCAGTTCTCATGCTTCTATCTATAGAAAAGATTGTACATGCTCTTGTGCAAATAGATTATCTTTGGATTTCATTTCACTTTTCTTTGTTCAACACTAATATACATGGTTTCAAATAGTCTTTTCATGAATGGTAGATGTCTTCTAGGTATGGAACTACCTTGTTGTATCCTGCAACCCATGTTTATGAATCCATTTTCTTGGGAGTTGTTTTCAGCCCCTTGAAAAGTATTTCTGTATTGGTAGCCTATAATCCTATAGATTTTGTTCACAAGGATGAAGTTAGATCCAGACTTAGTCATATTAGTTATGGTAAACCTATTGAAATCAATCAGACTAGTCATAACTAACTTCCCATTGGGTTATATTCCCTAACTTAAATCCGGTTCATTTCAGTAGTCTGCTCTAAGTAGAACCATCACTGAATACATCTTGTTTTAAGTCTAAGACAGTATGAGATGGACTGAATCCATAAAAGAAGCCACACTCTTGAACTTGGTAGAGCTGAATAGAGCTGTCATGGGCAGGACATTTTGAAGTGCTTTTCATTAATTGGGTTGTCAGGGACTATAAGCCCAGGTAGCCTTTAAAGTTTGTCTAACTACGAGAAACAAACCACCTGCAAAATTCACACACACACACACACAAGCTCTTAACTAAAGTGTGCACGCAACAATACAGAATAGTCCACTCTTCTTCATAAGAGTCCAGCATCAGCTATTAATCCCTATGTTTTTAATACCTTTAAGAGATGTACTTCTGATTCCCTGTGCGTGAACTC